TGTCTCTTAAATTATACTCTTTGAGTGTAATTTAAGTGTCTTTACTGAATAAAATTTAATGCTTTAAAAGCTTTACTAACAAATGTATTTAGAGCAGACAATTTTTGCAGTTTCTAGGCCTATTCCACTGTACAAAAATACAAAAGTCTGAATTTTTAACTGAAATTAAATAAATAAATATACAATGCAAAATACTAAATAAATAATTTAGTGAATTAATTTACAGAACTCAATAATTGCATAAATAAAAGAATAAGGATAACTTTGTATTTAAAAATGCAGACTTTTGTTTTACTGTACATTATTATTATGTACATTATTATTTACCTAAAATAAAATAAAATGCATAAAATTAAACAATAATATTAAAAGAAACATAACATATTCTTTTTTGGAGGGCTGCATCCATTTATCACATTGCCTCTCACTGAAATAAAAATTATAATTGAAAATTAAATTAATATTTTTTGAAATAAAAAATTGCGTCTTCTTTTCTTTGGTTTAATTGGTGCGGTTACATCTGTGGACCCCTTTGGCTGTTGAAATCTATACGAGACCTTAAAGCAGAAAAAATAATTGTTAATTAACAATTTTAAAATAATTTTCACCTATTGTCCTGACTAACAAATTTAGAGACGAAAAAACTACTTTCCCTGATACTAATGGACTTAAACAGCTGCAAATAAATGAACCTTTTCTACTCTATCATTAAATGCCTGAAATTTATAAATGTCCTTGTTCATCAATTCAAAATGATCCTTCGATATCTGCATCGTTTTAGCAGTTTCATTACGAGATTTCAATGCGGATCTTATAACCAAAATAGAATTAAGAGTTTCGACCCCCAAGCGATTTCTTTTTGCCGTTTTAGCTTCTTTGAGCATTGAAAATGACCTTTCTGCCTCTGCATTTGAATGAGGAAGCGTCCTGACTAAATTTAATGCTATCGTCAAATTTGGGAATTTTAAAGTGCCATCCTCTGCTGGAAAAAGGCAGATCTTAATGCACATATCATCAAATGATAATCTGGACAATTGTTCTTTTTCTTCGGAAGAAAGTTCATACAAAACCTGCCATTCTCTTCGTAATTCAGAAAAATCTAAATGAACATTTAAATTTTTACAAAAATGGAAGACTTTTTGAAAAGTTATATTTCTGTCACCATAAAGTGATTCTTGTGACTTGAAGACTGATGCACAAGAAAGAAATTGATTATCAAAAGGCAGTCGCTTTATAATTTCATAACTTGCTGTTACATAAAATTCCAAAACATTCTTATAAAACACATCAATTTCCTCTTGCTTCAATTTTCCGTTACCAATTTGTAAATTTAAATATTCCCGCGTTTCATTACCTATATCAATATGTTCGACTGCCTTTTGATTACAAGCCTTTTCAAATTTTATATTCTTAACTGATTGGAAAAATATTATAGGATTTTGAAGAAATGCATTTTTTAAATATTTTTGTAATATCCAATGTAAGAAACCTGCTGATTGGGGCTGAAGTTCTTGGGTCATTGTTTCACGCTTTTGAAAAGAGGCATTAAAAATATTGAATTTATTCAGCGTGAACTCCAAGAAATGAAAATACGCCAAAGTTAATGGTTCCTGCATCAAACATCGTAAGTTATTAGCCTTCAGGGTTTTATCTTCTGATTCAATAACCATTAAAAATTGAATAATCAATTCCCAATATTTAAGAATCACAGTAATACACTGATGACGAACAAGCCAACGAGTATCTGAATGACTAGGAATTTTCTTGAATGATTCACCTAATTCTTCAACAATTTCCCGATAAATTGCATATCTTTTTGGACTCACGTTTAAAAAAGCTGGTAATGATAAAAGTAATTTATCTACCGCAGGAATTTTTGAAGATGCGTGTTGAGCAATGAGGTTTAGAGAATGGTCTACGCATGGAAGAAATTTTAAATATGGATTTTTTTCCTTTAATCTACTTTGGAAAGAATTGTGATCACCTGTCATAACCGTAGCATTATCCGTAGCCAAACCGATGATATTTTTTAAAGGAACCTTCCTATTTATTAAAACTTTTTCATAAATGTTAAACATTGATGCGGAAGAACAATCAGTTGCATCCAAATTAATTTGTTGCAGCAACTCTACTCTGATTTGAAATGTTTTGGGTTCAACATACCGAATTAATACAGGTAACCATTTTTCGTGACTTATATCACTTGCCTCATCTACATAAATTGAAAAGGGATTTTTCTGCATAACCGTGGTAACACGTTTTTCTTCAACCGCGCAAAGGACATTATTAGCAACTGAAATCATTTTTGTCCGGCCTAATTTAACAGATTTTAAGACAAGAGGATCGATATTTTGAAAAAGTTGTATAAGGTCTGAGGACACTCTAAAGGGAATATTATGTTCAACAAAAAAAGCTGTTATCCTCAGTTCACTTTCTTTGACTTTTTCTTCAAAAGTCAAAGAAGGTTGAGAAGAAACTTCATTTAAATTATTTTTAAAAGAATTATTTTCATCGATTTCCATTAAATCTATGCTACTAGAATTAGTTGCTGCAACTTCTACATTATCATCAGAATGGGTAGTTAAAGTCGCCTCTCCTTTTGACTTGGAAATGTCTTAAATTTTTTAAATCTTTCAAAAATGTCAAAATTTTTTTGATGAACCAAACTTGATTCATGGGTTTGAATTTGTGATTTTCCACATATCATTGTTTTACGGCAAAATTTACAATAAAATTTTGTATCTTCATTGGCGACTCTAAATAACCATTCTTTCCACGAAGGAAATTCGTCAAACCACGACTCTTGAAAATGAGTGGGTTTTCTCTTTATTTTTTTAGGGGGGTTTTCTACGCTTTGAGGCAAATTTGGCAAATCGCTGTTTGAGTTGAGATCCATATTCAATGGAAAATGGAGAAAATCAAAAGAAAAATATATAAATAACTCACCAAGAGAATGAGGAAGAAACGAAAATATTCTCGCGAAAACGACGAAACAATAATCCTTTATCGATAGAAAAACAACACAATTACACTAACACTAATCTTCAAAATTATAGAAATGCTTTGCATATAACTGCAGATGATATTTGAAAAAACCACTAACCAATAATTCAAACAAAACCTTTACGAAAAATATTAACTGATTTGAAAATGAATAGAAGCTATCAAGCTGACGTCTCGTATATAATATAACCTTCTCTTTTAACAACGTCAAAGATATAAACAAAACACTATCGACAAAATGTCTTCTAGCAGATATTCTATATATAAGAAAAATAATATATTTTTACCACAATTTTGGTGATATGTATGTCATATATACATATCAAAAATAGATACAATTTTTTAATATAAATTATTTTTTACAGAGATAATATTATTACGTGAATAATAAAAAAAATTGAATAAAATATCTACAAAATTTAATTTTTTCCTACTTTTTTTGTAAAATATTTTGAGAAAAATATTTAATTTAACTAACATTTCATGATATAATTGTACTTTTAAATATAAAAAACGCATGTAATTTAAAATGGTCCTCAAAGGGTTAAAAACGCGCCATAAACTCTACCTCCTGGGTGGTGAGGAAACGGGTTTTAAAATATAGAAATATAGATAATTTCATAAATGTATGAATAAGGTGTAAAAGGTAATTTTTTTAAATTTGTGTAGATTAAATTATGAAAGAAGTAAGTTAATTAATAATTGGGTTAATTAAAAATTACCATAGAAAAAATAATTATTTATTAATTAATTATTTATTATTAATTTAATAATTGATTAATTAAAAATTACCATAGAAAAAATAATTATTTATTAATTAATTATTATTAATTTAATAATTGATTAATTAATTATTTATTATTAATTATAATACAAATTATTTCATCCCTGTTTTAAAAATAAATAATGATAAACAATAATTCAATGTATGATTATAATAATTTGTAGAAAATAATTTTCAAGTCAAATAATAAATTAGAATTTAATAAAAAAAAAAACATCATTAAATATCAAAATTAAATTTTTTTTTATTATAATTAAAGAGATAAAATAAAATTGAATAGTTATTATACATATATCCCTTTAATTGAAAGCATTAATATTAAATTTTATTTTATCCCTTTAAGTATATTTTACAAAATAAAGTAAAGAATAATTTGAAATTTATTTAAAAGTTTTATTAAAATCTAATTTATTATTTAACCTGAAAATTAATTTCAATAAATTATTATAATCATACAGGAATTATTGTTTATTACACTTGAAAATTAATAATAAAAACATTTTTCAATAAATAATTAATTTTTTACTTAATATATTTATTGTAAATTACTAAAGAATATTTCTTTTATAATTCTACATTTTAAATTTCCCGCGCCAAAAAGCAATCGACCGCCGGTAAATGCATGCATAGTATCTAGCGAATAGAGGAAAACGAAAAAGAGGCTCATATACAGGGAATGTATATGCATGTGTTAGTGTGCGGATGGAAACATGGTGGGGGTCAAGTCTATCTGCGGCCTGGTCACACTGGTAAACAGCGACCCAAAAAACCTCAGATAATGAGTTTCGAAAAAATTAACAAAATTTTATATTTCAGTTGGCCATACTGCATCAGACATTTTGAAACTTTTTAAATCTCATTATTGATAAATAAAGTACACATACAAAACTATGTTTCTCAGATGGATAAATTCGACAGTTAATTTTTTTTCATCTTATTGTTTAAAAATTAAAAAATTCACTGTTCATATTCTTCAAAAAAAATTCAACCCTCTCCCCTTGCTACAGTAAAACGGTGCGTAATTATTTTTTCTGATATCGTAAATCAATTTTAGTTCCTTAATAGTGCAAAAATTTGGCTCCTCTACATAACATTGATGTCTACGTGTGAGGTTAAAATTTCTCTGGCCTCTGCTTTAAATAAGAAATAGAAAAATAAATAATTTTAAAATATTTATTTTCTTAATTTTACCTTTTAATTTATTGATTTTCAGATGGCAAAAGGAGTCTATACATATTTTATTTGTAAATTGATAGAACTTTTGGACACAGTTTTCTTCGTATTTAGAAAGAAACAACGTCAAATTTCTTTTCTACATGTTTATCATCACGCAATGATGCCAATTTGTGCTTGGATTGGTGTTCGATATGTACCAGGTGGTCAGTCAACTCTTCTTGGTGTCATCAATTCTTTCATCCACGTCATCATGTACACATACTACATGCTTTCAGCGTTTGGTCCGGAGATCCAAAAATATCTCTGGTGGAAGAGATACTTAACATTTCTACAGTTAGTACAGTTTTCCATCATCCTTGTTCACAATGGACAAGTTCTTTTCACAGACTGCAATTATCCTAAGGTTTTATCCTTCCTTCTTACTGTCAACGCCGCTCTATTCATCTATCTCTTCGGCTCTTTTTACATAAAGACTTATACAAAAAAATATCAATCACGTAAATATGAGAAAATTAGTAATGACAATGTACAATTCAATGAATCTCTCAGGACAAAATCTAAATAAGAAGAGTTTTTGAAACAAATAAGTAATAAAAAACACACATAGCACGTAAAACGTCTGCAATGTTATATAGCGTATATATATGTATAATCGTGCCGAGAAATATTGCTCTAAGATTACAGTTTAATATTGACACCACATCAAATGGAAACAACGCAGCAAATTATTAAAAGTTTGTTTATTTCTTTACTCTGCACTATGTCGCAGAGTATTTTGCCATAGCATCGAAAATGCCCAATAGATTTCAATGTACATTTTGAATAAAAAACTTTCTCAACTATGTCACGCAATTTTCCTCAAGCTTGCGACAACATTGCATTTCGTTTTACGAAAAGATTCCGGCAACAATGTACTTCTAATTTGCTAAGTAATAATATTGTGCTATATCCGGTAACTTTACGTGCTATTTGAAAAGTATTACGGTGCAATAAGAATGTAATTAAAATGAGAAACGTACGTAATTTAAGAATGATGAAAAATTACTGTGACGAGATTATGTTAAATGAATAATTGTTAAAATAAGGAGAAAAATAAAACGCTTTATGTAAATTAAGATGAAGCTCATGTCAGAGAATGGATATCGATCATGGTCATATAGTCTTCCCCTGAAGATAAAACTACTTCTGCACGAAATTAAAAAAAGTTTCTTGTACGTTAGACTTTTGATTCCTAATAATTATATTTTCCCTGTTGAAAAAAATTAGTGTAAATACGGCCATAAATATATAAATTCTTTCCCGTTTTTTCTTTTAATGAACTTTTAAACAGTTCTACAGTTTTTCTCTATTATTTATTACTTTTTAGGACGCCATAATAAAAACATTCTATTTTTAAAAAAATTTATTTTTTTACATTATATAATTTTCAAAGTAATCACAATGTTTGTGCATAAAAATTAGCTGCCATTAATAACTTTTCGAGGTAGAAAAAAAAATTCGCAAAACATTCGATGTTTAAATTATTCTATGACTATTTAAAATGCAAAAAATGGGGAGTTATGCTCCAGCGTTAGTGCGGAATTGTCATAGAGATAATATAAATAGAGTGGAGATGGTCTGTATAGAGGCGTCCGTTTGATAGAAAGAGAACGCGATTTTAGCACCAGTAGGTGTCTCTCTTGCGCTGGTGCTTATTGAAGGACAGATACTGGTGTTAAATCTTTCTTCTCTTTCCAACCCATTCTGTTTGGGTCAGGACACTTCCCTCTTACGCAGCCGCCTATACCTTGTCTACTCTATTTATATTATCTCTATGGGAATTGTGCCTCACATCATATTTAACACTTTAATTTTAATACACACTCTCCATTTCTAGAAAATTCTATAAATTTATAGTAAGTACTATAAACATTCTAGAAAATTCTATAAGTTGAATTTTTTTTCTATTTCTAGAAAGTTCTATAAATTTTGTACAAAATTCTATAATTGTCTAAAAATTTCTAAAAATTTCTAGGAAATGCAAGAAAATTCTATAAATTTATAGAAAGTTTTATAAAATTTCTAGAAAATTTTTAGAAACTTCTTTGAATTTATAAAAAATACTATAAATTTCTAGAAAATTCTATAAATTTCTAGAAAGATCTATACTTTCTCTAGAAAGTTCTTTAAATTTCTAAAAAATACTATAATAATACTATTTGGGCGAGGGGTCCATAATTTTCCTGTGTGTTAGAGAGAGAAAGATGCCCAGTTGTTGGAGAGAAAGAGAGGGTAATATATACGACAGTGAAAAGAGAGACGAGAGGGAGAAGGCTATGCTTTTGCTATAGGTTAGAAAGAGAGGGAAAGGTGTTTTGAGGAAAGGCAAGAGAGAAGAATGCTACGCATAAGAAAGAGAAATTAAATCAAGTTTTTTTTAAGTCCATAATTTTAGTAACACTAGACATATATTATATATATATATATAAAATGGAAAATATCGAATCTATTCATAATAAAAAACAAAATAATTAATAATTTTTTTTTATATTATTAAATAATTAAAAATTTGTTATAACATATTATTATTTAAAGATAAAAAACAATTAAAAATTGAATAATTTTTTTAAAAATTAATTTAATGTATGGGAAAGGTTGTAGAATAATCGTAAACTTCATAAACAATATTTATGTTTATTTATTTATTCACATTCTTTTTACATTAAAAATTAAACAAATATATATATATATATATATTCAATTTTTTTAATATGTCTGCGAGCGATGGTTTCTCCGAGGCGTGCGAAGAACTTTACTTTCTCTGTTTTTTTTTGTTCCTTTTGGAATATTTGGATGTTAAAATCCTCCAAAAAGTCTTCGTCATAAACCTCGTATTCCATATTTTGAACGGTTGTTTCTGTCTTTTTTTCACTCAATCCATTTTCTTCATTTACCCAGCGATAAAGGTACCATTCTGTAAAAAGAAAATAATTTTAAGGTTAATTTCGTTAAAGACAATTATGGTTAACTATACATATAAATGTTATACATACTTAAATTGAGATAGTAGCATATATGAGTAATAGTAAATCACAGTTTGGTAATTTGCAGTACATAAATAAATAATAAAATAAATAATAAAATAAATAATAAATAAATAATAAATAAATAATAAATAAATAATAAATAAATAATAATTAAATAATAAATAAATAATATAATTTATAATAATAATAAATATTTATGTTTATGGGTCTAAAGTAATCTTTGTTTTTTATAACCATAGGGTAGATAATCATAATTTTCTTCCCTACGGCGTTTCATATTTACTACTCGACAGGTTTTCTTTTCATCTTTTGTAACGACTAAGTGTTCTTTAGTAGTTCGAATTACTCTAGATGTTATTTCTATAGGGTTTCCTTCATTGGTTACGAGATCACGAATCGAATGAAAATTAATTAAAAGAGAATTTTTAAAATTTAATGAAATTCCTTTAACCTTGCAAACCGTGGACTCGGTACCATCAGATTTCCGAAAATCCGCCAGAAATAAAAGCATTAATATAACTACCTGCTCCGTAATCTTTTTCAACTTCATCCGTTAAATCTCCTAACAAAGAGCCCACAGGGGGTATATATTCTGTAGGATTACCACTGTTTACATAAATGCAAGAATCTGTATCGTAATATAACACCCGTCTATCCAACTTATATAGGTAATTATATAACTTTAGACGAGCTTGTGCAGTTGAGTATGCAGCAATAACAACACTTGTGTTTGGAGCAGGTGTTATTGCTTCGGCCTTTTTTACCCAACAAACGTAGACAATATCATCGTTTACAGGTACAATGTCATTGATCTCAACCTCAGCGTTATGAAGTAAACGTAATAATTCATCACGTGTTTCTACAATTGTAGTTTGTGGTAAATTATCACGTTGACCGAATTTGCCCCAGAAGGAATTGAGACAGAGTTTCGCAACAGAACGTAACCCTGGATTTTTATGTATTTTAATAGGGACTAATTTTATCCCTTCTTCCTGTTCATAATTTTTAATATAATTAAGTTTAGATTGTTCATCTGTACAATATGATGGCCAACCACTTGCTTCTTGTTTAATTTTTAAAAAGTTATTTATATAAGAAACAAAAAAGCCTCCTTCGCGAGTAGTTGGATCATATTGTACAATATCATATTGCCAAATTTCATAAATTTTTACTATTTTATAACCAAGATTTACTGCTGCTTTTAATTCATCAGAAACCCAAGTTCCTTCAAGTACACGTAAGGACTCATCTTCATGAGTGCAATCACTCGATTCAAGAGTTTCACAACATGTACGACAAAGAGGGAACATGAGTTTTCCGTGTTGTCGAACTGGAAGAAGTGGATGGTACAAATCACGCGGAGGTAAAATTTGACAGAGTACTAAACCTTCTACATTGGTAATGTCATACTCAGTTCCAGTGAATTGTTTACATTCTTCTTCACCAATGTATAGCTTTGGATGTCCAACAGGAAATTTACCAGTTTTACAAATATACGGATATAAAGAACAAACGTCTTTATATTCAATTTTTTCGCCTTCTTTAATCTCATAAAAAGATCTAGTATTTCCTGTACGACCTCCGTAGAAAGCATCTCGAAGGTTTAGTACTTTATTATTTTTTAAAATTGGGTGATTTTTAAAAAAATCTTTTAACTCTGCGTTATTTGATTTTTCCCTATCAAACTGACACTCCCAAATCTCAATGACCTCATACCCATTACGTTTAATTTTATCTCGAATTGCGAGAGTCCGATTATACCGGTCATTCATAGAGGTTTCAGATTGACCTATTTTGACATCACGATTAGTTGAAAAACATTCTGGACACCCATGCCAAAAACATCCATGATATTGAAAAACATAACGAATACCGTTATGCTCATAATAACCATCAACTATCGGTCTTTCAATTAGTCTGTATTATCTACCTCTACCTGCGTGAGTAATAGAAACCCCTCGCTCACGTTCCATGAACAAAAGCCATTCTAAAGATTTTCGAGAGTGATTATCTCTCAATCCATAACCTCCTCTTGGAATAATACCTATTGTGTTTTCTTATGAACACATTTTTCTGTAGTATCTATTACAAGCTGAGGCTATAGTTTTAGCCTCACTAAAAGGACATACATTTCCATACTCAATGAAAATTTTACGAAATGCAACACATGCACATCGTAAAATATCCACATCTTTTTTACAATATGAAATTAATTCATCCTGAATATTAAAAACATATGCAGGGTTGGATTTTTACGATAACGATGCCAGATTTTCGAAAAAATGGCGGATCCAATACGGCTGCTATCAGAATCGTCATCAAAGGTCTAAAATACTCCCAAGTTACGCGATTTTCAAGCGAATCAGTTGAATTTAATAAAATATCCGCCATATTGAATCCGAAATTTTTAATTTCGAAAATCTGACATTAAAATTGCAATCAGCGACCCCAAAAACCCCCCTAGTAACGAGTTTTAGTTGAAGTTCTTTGCAATTTTATTTTTCCTTTTTTAAAAAGTTTTTAGGTCGTGTAACGTAAAACTCAAATGGCTGTATCTCAGTGAAAAGAAATCGGATCGGAACGGGCCAAGAAAATTTTGAAAGGTGAATAGTAGTACTTTCTTTAAAAATTTGGACCTATGTTTAAAAAAATTTTTTGAAGATTTTATAGATGGTTGAATGTTGCCAAAAACGGACTTTTTCACGCTTTCAGGTTAGAATATCTCAAAATCCTGACGTGATAGACCAATTTCGCTGTCATTTTTGGATTCAGCGTGAAAAATTACATGAAAAATGACTAGTCCGGATTCTGGGTCTGACAAAATCGAAAATTTTGTAGGCCTGTGTTATGATTATTACATTATTATTTTATTATATATTTAATATTTATAAATAATTGATTTAATCCCAAATATTCGTTTTATTTATAAATAATTGTTTATTTACAAATATTTGTTTATTTAAAAACAATTATTTATTTACAAATGTATTTTTAAAAAAAATTAATTTTACATAAATAAATATAAAAAATGTTACGGTGACGTGACACCTCCCCCCCAAATCGAGCATGGTTGTTACGAACCGAAAAAA